TCAATTTTTTCCATTCTATTTTGAATCAACTTTCGTCTTACGCCTCATCCCCGCCGTTTTAGATGCAACCATATTTATTCCACACTTCTTATACGACCACATAACGTGAATTTGAATTCTACACGGGCACGCATTATCGTAGAATTTTACTCTTCTTTTAAATATATACGATCAAAACAAAACAAAATATATATATATATATATATATATTTTGTTTTGTTTTGATCGTATATATTTAAAAGAAGAGTAAAATTCTACGATAATGCGTGCCCGTGTAGAATTCAAATTCACGTTATGTGGTCGTATAAGAAGTGTGGAATAAATATGGTTGCATCTAAAACGGCGGGTATTAGGCCTAAGACGAAAGTTGATTCAAAATAGAATGGAAAAACTTGAAAGGAGAAGAGAATTGGCTTGGGGTCAAAGAATGAGAGAGGACTGGTCGAAAGAGAACATCTTCAGTTCCTCAAATACATATTAGGCCTCGGATTCCTTTCCAGTTTCTTGTACTACTTCCTAGTTCCTTCTCCCATTTGCCTAGGACGGAACGCTGTCATCACAGCTCCAATCAAACTATACTCCGTCACAAGGAAAGAATAGAGAGGAGGAGGAACCCAATGTGTCATAACGGGGCAAAGGGCTCTGGAAGCAGCTCGAACCCACTGTCAAAGCCAAGTGCTTGGTCTGATGACTTGTCATCAATGCTGTGCAACCAGTTCATGTTCTTCATGTCCTCTTTCAGAAACAGCGCATCGTAGCGGGAGCTCTCGTACATGTCCCTCTCACTCAGCTTCCCCACCAATCTTCCTTCCTTTGCCCCATTCTTCGTCAAGTCCCTGCTGTGGCTGTTGATGGAATCTGTCTCATTTGCTGAACGGATAGACTGAATCCTCGGTGTGGCCGCCCTAATGCTTTTCGTGCTTGAACTCCCCTTCCCGTTTCTCGTGTCCTACACCATCACAAATGTTTTTTGGTGTCATTGATGAAGCTCAAGGCAAGGAAAAAAAAAATCTGAACTACTCTCATAAACAATACCATGTGCCTGACGGGCATATCGAGTGAACTTTTTGAGAATGGCCTCCCAGGCCCATTGTCTGTGACAGATGCAGACGACTTCACACTTCTCCGAGACATTGTGGCTGACACGTTCGAAACCTTCTGGGACTCTGAAGCATCTGTGAGGTACCTCCCATTACCACTGACATGGCTCCTCCCAGGTGTCTCTGTTAGTCTTCCTCTTCCAACAACAGGAGACGGATTCCTTTTTGTCATCGGCCCTTTAGGCTCTGGACTCGCCTTTGTTGCAGTAGCAGCCGCTGGCCGGGATCTGCCAGCAGAAATTGGTCTGTCTGGCAGAGTTGTTCTGAGATTTGGCGGTGTCTCAAGAGGGAAATCTGATGGCACGATTGGCTGTTGGGGTGGTCGGTCTCTAGGTCCAGGGGAGCTTGGCCTAGACAATGAAACTGCCATACGTCCATTTGATGCAGCACGTCCACCTGAAACATAGGGTCCTGATGATGCAGATACTGAGGTGGATGGGTTTCGACGTGTAGGAGTTGAAGGACGGGTACTAGGTCTAGAAGCAATCGCACTCGAGTTTGCTGAAAGCTGTGGCCTAGAAGTTGGAGTAGAAGGCCTTGACACCAGGGATGGTTTCGTCTTGTCTATGCATGAATTAGATGAGCTTGGACGTATTCTTGAAGGAGTAGAGGCCCTTGATGAGGTGGTACGAGTGGGAGTGGAAGGCCTCGCTGTAGATGAAGAACGGGTGATTGGAGACGAAGGTCTAATGTAGGATGACACTGAAGCAGAGCTTGTGTTCAGGAGAGAAGATGGTGACCGGCTCAGAGAATATGAACTGTATTGTGAAGTAGAGATGGAAGGGCGAGTAACAGAGCTACTACTTCTGGCTGGTCTTGAGGATTGGTAATTGCTTTCTGAATGCGAAACTGAAAGCTGAAGAAGGAAAAGAGGTTCAAATCTGAGTAAAGATGAGTTGCATACGTAAAACTTGGTTTCCATGACAAGAATCTGACACATAGCAGGGAGCTTTTTTTTTCTAAAAGGATCAGCAACAACAAAGACAGACTGGCAATTCAAGGAAACACAGAAAAGAGAGGCAGGTTGTACCCTTGATGCCTTTGCTGCAGAATTAGATCTAAATGAAGAAATGGTCTTCGGAGGCGATTGGCTTCCGAGAGGTGTTCCAGGAGGAGTGAGAAGCCTGGAGACGAGGGAAAAAAAAACATACACTCCAGAGGAATATTGACCTTATAATACACTAAATGATTTCTTCGCAAACGAAGAGTAGGCTGGACATTCAAAAACTCTGGAATCCTGGAAATTGAGGAGACTGCACATCGAAGATGAGCACACGAAAAAGACGATTCATGCCGGGCTCGAAAATAAGACGATCTTGCGGAAATGCACACCGCAAGAGAAGAGAAACATACCAGTCGTAGTCATGCTTTCCTCCTCCTGTCGAACACAAGAGATCATCTGCTCTAGCCTTGGTTAGTGTTATGGATGCCGCAGAGAGTCTTCCGAGTTTCACGGAAACTAGAGCAAACACACACACACACACACACAAAAGGTTGAATTCGGAGTTTGAATCTAGATCAGAATGACGGTCAGCGATCCCCATTTTGGAACAATTATAGAGAGCAAGTGGATCTAGAGACTGACAAACAGCTTGAGGCGTTTGGACAGCCTCGATGGCCAATTAGGGTATCCATCAAAGAGCCAATAATATCGTCTTGAAGCTGCACTCGGAATAATTCCACAGAATCATAATGGAAAAAGCGATTAGTTGGTAGAAACGAACCATCAGAGGAATCGTCGGCGGAAGGTAAGGGGAAGGAGCGGCGGCTTGTGGAGAAGAGATCCAGATTCTCGCTGAAATCCTTGGAGAATCCATTGAGGCTGGGACCTCTTCGGAACTGAATGTTCCGTCCTCCCGTCAGAGATTCCCGCAGATTCCTATTCATCGTTGACCCCGCCGGCAGAGCTGAGAGAGGGACGCAGTTTCTTAGGAATTACGCCACGAGAGAGAGTGAGAGTCTATTCAGATCGATCCGAGTTGGTACTCTGTCATATGTTTTTAAGGGGGCGATGCGTGTTATGTTCCTATAATATAATTTAATTGGCCTGAAAAGGGTAAGGGAGATGCGTTCCAAGTTGAAGTATCTATCAATCAGATTGCAGTTCTCATTTCCACACATCCTGCATACACATTATAATTCAGGTAGATTCGAATTCATTTAACGTACACGGAGGAGAAGCCTGTGGAAAAAATTTGGGAAAATGACAGTGAGGGTTGTTGTTATGAATGTGTGTGTTCGGGGATTGGGAAAATAGGGTCAGGGAAAGGGGAAACCCCAATCCCATGTGTATTTATAATTATATAATTGCACCATCCCTAACTTCAATTTACTCCATTCTTCACTTATCTCGCTTATATAATCCTTGTAATTAAATTCTCCAATGAGCCAAGCAAGAACATGTTGCACTTCTCGTCTTCTGATAAATGGGCCTCGACGATACTCTTCGGCCCATTCCATTTCAGTCTCATGGGTACCGTGAGACGGAAGGCATAGGGCCGAAAACGACAGCGTTTTTGTAGGCGAGTCTGCCAATAGGGAACAGGTCAACGGTCCGCAAGCGGAGATTTGGCACTAAATGTACGGGCCAGATGACCAATTCCTTTGAATAACATATACATATACAGAACCATCTTGTGTTTTCTGCCTTTCATCTCCTCCAGAACCAACGCAGAAGAGATGAACGACTCAGATGTGTCCCAGCAGATACAGCAGATGGTTCGGTTCATTCGTCAGGAGGCCGAAGAGAAAGCGAATGAGATCTCCATCTCTTCCGAAGAGGTTTCTTTTGGGTTTATTCGTATAGAATGCACGTACATCTCATTTCTCCCTCGTCCTAATGGATGGATCACAGGAATTTAACATCGAGAAACTGCAACTGGTAGAAGGCGAGAAGAGAAAGATCAAACAGGAGTACGATCGGAAGCTCAAGCAGGTCGATATTCGTAAGCGAATGTCAGCCCTTTCCTCTCTTTCTCCTTTTATGAATACGTATGTGCAATGTTTGGGTTACTGACTGAGGAGCAAAAACAATGTACGGTGGGCAGTGAGTACTCGACCCAGCTGAATGCATCTCGGCTAAAGTACCTACAAGCGCAGGACGATGTCGTAAATTGCATGAAGGAGACAGCGGCCAAGGAGCTCATCCGTGTCTCCAGCGACAAGAACGCTTACAAGAAGCTTCTGAGAGGATTGATAGTTCAGGTATCGCAATTTTCAATTTGTCAAAAGAACGATCAAGAGTCAAAAGTTTTTTGAGTAACGTGCACAACAGAGTCTGTTGAAGCTCAAGGAACCATCAGTGCTACTGAGATGCAGAGAGATGGACAAGAAGACAGTCGAATCCATCATTGAAGAAGCTAAGAGAGAGTATGCAGACAAAGCCAAAGTCCAGGTTCCTAAGGTTACCATCGATGCCAAAGTTTTTCTTCCTCCTCCTCCCAATCCCAAGACAGCATCAGATTCTCATCACCTTTCCTGGTAAAAGTTCCATTGGTCTTTCCTTAATCCTCATTTGTTCAAATTTCAAAAAAAAAATGTTATGGTGTGAATCAGCTCTGGAGGGGTGGTGCTGGCATCTCAAGATGGGAAGATAGTCTGCGAGAACACCTTAGATGCACGTTTGGATGTCGCCTTCCGACAGAAGCTACCCCAGGTTCTTTTAATTACCAAACAAAAAAAAAAAATAGTTTTTCTCAGACCAAATTCCAATTACCTAGAATGTATGTATCTCGTCCTTTCAGATCAGGAAGCACCTCCTTGGAACTTGAGAGAACACTGAAGCATGATTGGCTGCAACTGATAATAAGCAGCAAATGTGATTTCTTTTTTCATTCATCCAGTCTCGTATTCTTTGATTTGGGAAATGTTTTCAAGAAAGAACAGCTGTTTTTACGGTACTATATTGTTCCCTTCAGCAATAAAACACATGTCCCGTAGTACACTCTGTTTTTCCCACGCAAGTGATCTCAGCTGCCTAAGACACAGAATGCCTTGTACTCCGTCCGTATTTTCCCTCGGTCCCAGATCTTGATTTCCGGCTAGCTTTGCGTCGCTTGGTGCCTGCAGGCCCTCCTCTGAATATTGCCATCCTCCCGATCCCTTTGGACAGCGATGTCAAGAATGTTCCGCTGTTGCATGGCTTCTCCATCATCCCCTGCTTCATGAACATCTGCTCCTTCTCTAACTCACTTAGTCTCACTCTCATCCTAGAGATCTCTAGCTTTAGCTCTCTGTTCTCTCTTCGCAGGGAAGCATACGTATCCCTGGGGGAAACTGCTGCGCTCGGGACACCACTTCTGAGTTTCTGAGACGAAAACAACAACAATCCATCCCCTGAATCGCTGGAGAGTGCATTCTTCAGCCGCAGCTGCTCGGAGTAGAGGACTCGAACTGCCATCTGAACAGGCAGACGCTCATTCTGGGCCGCGTGGTTGCATGCTTCCTGAGAAAGCTTCTGGCAGTCTATGAACTTGCACAGTTTCTTGCATTCTTGTTCGGCCAGCGAGGGATGAGCCTATTTCAACATGACGAATGAGACGTCGGTACAATGAAATGGACAAAAACACAGACAAAAAAATACACCTTGAGATAAATGTCGATGGCCCTGTATAGTCCGTCGTCAATGACACGGGCATAATCGGGCAATATCTCTATCATAACCATGAATTTGTGCAGACTCAGATACGGGTCAGGCGCAATCTCCGCCAAGTATGCATCCACAAGTCGTCCCACTTTTAGCAGCGAACCATGCCCCATCACACTCTCGGACTCGTACCCGCACTCCTCATTATCTTCTTCCTCCTCTATCCTCTGCAGAAAGCATACCAGAATTCTATGGACAGTGTCCACATCGTACACACAGTCTCCTTCTCGGATGGAATGTATCAGCAGATCATCGAGCTGCACCGCCTCTAACTGCATCGCGATTCTCTGCTCGAGCTCGAGCCTGCAAGAAAGCGTAGCTTCCACCGCAACCCCAACCCTTAACATTCCAAAGAGGAAACTCAAAGGGATTGAGGATGCTTTGTCTTTGGGCAGAAGGCTCACGATCGCTTCAACGATGTCCCTCTGCTCGTTCTCCATCGTACCAGAGTCCAATTTTGTCCGTTCCTGCCAAAGAAACTCTTTTGGTATCTTAAAGCAGAAGGAACCTATCAGTTGTTGTGATTGTGAAATCCAAACCTGGCAACTCCGAATACCCTTTAGCGACTCCTGAGCATAATGCATCAGAGAGGCAACGATACTCTCAGATCGCACGCCTGTTCTTGCCATGGCGGAGATAACTCGGGCGTAGTAGTCAATCCTCAGCGCAGAGAGGTCTTCCATCCACCACTCGAGACCATCGTTTCTGAAATCTGCAGAATCGCTGCTGCAGTTAAGCCTCGATAAACCCGAGGCAAGCTGCTCTCTGCACGCATTCACTGCAATGGCCTCCACACAGCGGTCGGGAATCCGCACTTTCTCAACGATTTCACGAGGCTGCAGGGTCTCGCATGAGCAGAGAACTTGTACGGACATGTCGAGGCTGCGAAAGGCGACCTGGTCGAGGTAAGCCTCGGTTCGGGAGATGAGGTTATCTTCCTTGTAGTCGTCTGTCATCTCGAGGTAGGCGGCGGCACAGCAGAGAGAGGCGACGTTTGAGGGAGTGATCTCGAAGTTGATGGAGTAGCAGAATTTCATGGCGAGTTCGAACGTATGGGGTCCACCTGGGAAGCCCTTGAGTTCCGTGTGGGAGAGACCGGAAGAATCCTTTGCCTCTGCCGCCATTTTTCTCATCTTCCCACATCGAGCCACCAGTGGAAACTGTAAAATCTCGTGGGTGGTTCCACGTCAAAATGTTGGTGAAATCTTTATACTATGAATATCCCCCGTCACTGAATATGTGGTAGAAACAGAAACCGTGGTATGACAATCTCCAAGAAGAAGATAACGTACCTTATGGAGCAGGAAGGAGTCGCCATCCACAACAATGGTGATGTCTCCGGCAACATCGGAGAAAATGCTGAAATAATAGAATGGAATTGAAACGTCAAGTTTGAGACGGGTGGCGATGAGAAACCAGAAAAAGACTTTGATGAAGAGAGACGTAAAAACATAAACTTGAAGGAAGATAGGAGAGAAAACAGACCGGCTGGTGAAGGAGGGAGGAGGAGGGGAGCGGCCCGAGGAAGATGAAGAAGAGGAGGAGAGAGGAGTAGTGTGTGAGGCTACCATCATAACGGAATGAATCCCCTGTTTAATTTCTTCTTCACTCACACGGGAAGAAGATGAGGGCGAATATTACGGGATTGCCCCTTGGGTGAATGGGCAGCCTTTGCTTTTGCTGCCGCGGCACTCTTGAAACCGAAGAGAGCCCCCCCTCTCTCCATACGAGGAAAAGGAAAAGATTCTTGCTTGACGGAGCCTTTCCACGTCTCTTTCCTCCTCTTTTCATCTATATCCCCAAACCGTCACCACAACGCAGAAAGTGAATCACTTTGGGTTTACACACTCTGTAAATTGGCCAGTCTCGATTTCTGGAAGGAAACACACAAGGAGAAGGGGATCAGAAAAGGATGGTCAAAGGGGGGAGTGACACGGAACTCCATAAAGACGCAATTATTGGGGGCACACTTTCATTTCCTTTTATTATTATATATTAGTATACATGTATGATGATGATGATGATGATGGATGGCATTCAAACTGTATAATTCTCCAGGCTTCATGATGATGGGGTACGTTTTTGTCGTCCTTCAACCCATTTGCTTTGTATGCCTATTGAAATGATGGGGTTAATATAAGAATAGACGAATGAAAGAACCCTTCAAAAAGGACCCACGAGACGATTCCAATATCCCTTATCACTTCCACGTCACAATGTCTTCTTCTTGTCCTCGTATCCTTGTTGCGCCTTCTCTCCTCTCTTTCTGTGTATGTACTGATCCACAACTCCTCGCTCTACACCAAATATGTCACGACAATTAAGTTTATGATCAATCAACTTGCTGGGATCCATATAGCCCCGCTTCTCCCATACCAAACACCTTACCAATTGTTACACAAATTAATACATACTTTGACAAAAAAAAAAAAAAAAAGAGTCATACTTCACACGACAACAGCCTGCAGGTGTTGGATCCCGATTCTTTAGAAAAATGAAAACACAAAATTAACAATAAACCAAAATTTCTCTTTGGCAAGTTGAAGCTTGGAGAGGGATATAAATTGTTGATGACAAGTATTTGGTTCGGTCATCCGTGTTAAAGTCAAAAGTACTTGGTCATCAATTTTGTGGAGATGGGATTTTTTTTACAATTAACTGAATGTATTCTTTTACAATTAACTGAAACTCTACACATCAGCTAAAGTGATGTATTCTTGATATTGAATCGATTTAGCCTCATACACACCCGCCTATCACGTAACGTGGCATATTCCGTACAAGCAAGTGAATGTTTGTTTACGTACGATTTGATAATATCCATAGTTTTGAAGGGACTTATTCATCAACACGTAGGAGCTAGATTACAACAACATTAGATTTGATGATTCGAACGTAGAATGTGGCATGGATTACAAGAAAAAAGGGTACTTTCTTGAATGTGAAATGTCATTTTTCAATTTGCATTTGCATACGTACGTGAGCTCAGCCAATCCAACGGGGGGAGGGGGAAGAGATATATATAATACATAAACAAATGCTGAACCTGAGAGCTCATCAAACCCTCCAAGTTAATAAGTAAATAATATACCAAGTCCGCAGCATATTAAATTTTTTTCAACTAGGACCCCGTTGATTGTTCCTTTTTAACCGCTCCCTTATTTAACTATATTTATATGTTATTTATTCATTAACTTGCATATGTACATATAAACTTGCATATCCTCTTTGTTTCCAAGGCTTTCTTCGTCTCAGGGTGCACATGTATGTATGTGCGAGTTCCCAGCTTCTTATTCCATGGCGTTTTTTTAATATATAACAAAGGTGATAAATACAGAAAATGGTGGGTGCAAGAATGTTAATTCTGGTGGTCTCTTGGTGTTCCTTGTCGCTGCTTAATGCGCAACAGATGACGCATCCATTGGATGGTACGTGTGCCTTAATTTCCTTTTTTGCATATATAGAACATATAACATATACATATGTATAGATGAAAGTACATACAAATGTGCGTGCAGTGAGTGCTCTGAGGGCGGCTCGCCGCGGCCTGGGGGATCCCATGAATAACCTGGGAGACTGGAAAAACACAGATCCATGCTCTTCTAATTGGACCGGTGTCTTCTGCTTCTCTGATCCCTCCGATGGCTACCTTCATGTTCAAGAATTGTATGCTTACCCTTCACCTCTTCTTCTCCATATCTCTGTATATATTCTTTTGGCTCATGCATGCATATGCAGGCGGTTGCTGAACATGAACCTCTCCGGAAGATTGGCTCCAGAGCTCGGCTATCTATCCAATTTGACCATTTTGTGAGATTCCTTATTTATGCATCATATATATGTATATATCATATGATTGGATGGTTTTTTTATCTCTCTCTTATATTATAATGCATTCCCTGCTCATCAGGAACTTCATGTGGAACAACCTCGGCGACCATGTCCCTGCACAAATTGGCAACTTGACTCATCTCAAGTTCTTGTAACTTCAATCTTCATCATATACATATGCTTCCATATACTTCAACGCTACATATTTATATATATATGATGGATGACATTCATTAATCCAGAAAACCCATCTTCTAATTCAACTTTTTTCATGAGGTGATGGTATATTACACTTGTAGATTTATACCTAACAAAGGTATCCATATATATATATATATATATATGAAATTTTCCAGGCTACTGAGTGGGAATAAACTGTCAGGGCGTTTGCCGGAAGAGCTGGGTTCTCTCTCGAGCCTCTTAATCTTTCAAGTTGACTACAACAACATCTCTGGAGAACTACCTAAGTCACTTGCAAACCTGACTAAACTCAAGCACTTGTGAGATTCCTCCAACTCCAACATGATAGTAATCCATATTATGCCTTCTCACCTGCGGTTATTTCTTTTGCTGCAGCCATATGAATAACAACTCCATCAGCGGTCAGATTCCGCCCGAGTATTCTGCATTGTCTGATCTTCTTCACTTGTGAGTTCGTCTCATTGTATCAAGTCCTTTCGAATGAAGTTATGGAACTGAGACTTTTCCTTCTTATTAAATATGTTCTGGTGTATGTTGTTGTGTCTTCTCTTCATCCGATTACATGTTTCATGTTAAGGTCGTTGAAAGAATTTTTCACCATCTGTTTCCACAGCAACATCCGCATAAGAAAAACCCTGCTTTACGTACAAATCCAAGAATATATGTCATGAATCTGAAAGATTTGGATTGTAGCGTCAGGCCTTTAAATGACAACTATATATATCAACGACTTTGCTTTTTATGCAACCATTTTGCTGCAGCTTGATGGACAACAACAACCTATCTGGGTATCTTCCCTCAGAGATGTCTCAGATGCGTAGCTTAAAAATCCTGTATGTGTGTTCTCTGTGTTCTTACAATATGAGAATGAGATGTGTCTTCTCTGATCTCCGCAGTACTTGTCTTTTGCAGGCAACTTGACAACAACAACTTTGTTGGGAATGGAATCCCATCTTCCTATGGAAGCATACCGAATCTCCTGAAATTGTGAGGAACATAACCTAGAAAAAGTACAAATCTTTGGATTCAGAATACTGTTATAACACGTTATTCGGTAAATAAACAGGAGTCTCAGGAACTGCAACTTGCAAGGACCAGTTCCTGATTTGAGCAAGGCACCGTTCCTTTACTACTTGTGAGTTACTGAACAAGAAACCAAAACATTTCATTATAGATACACGTCTCCTTCAGTTGCTCATGCGTTTTCTGTTGTTGCTCCAGAGATCTCTCCTCCAACAAACTTACAGGAAACATTCCGACAAACAGGTTCTCTGGCAATATCACAACAATGTAGGTACCGGTACCAACAGATGTAATATTATTGACTCAGCTGCCAAATTTTTGAAGGTTAAACGACAAAGAATAATTTTAATCTGCTGCAGTGATCTGTCAAACAACATGCTCGATGGATCCATCCCTTCAAATTTTTCGGGTCTTCCTCGATTGCAGAGACTGTAAGACCAGTGTTTGTTGAATACTTTTTACCCCCCAAAAGAAGGAGAAGAGGAATGAAGAAAACCAGTGTTTGTTGCCGGGATGCATCTTCTTAACCTGTTTTTCTGACGTTGTAGAATTTGTATTTGGATTTCAGGTCTCTACAGAGCAACATGTTAAGCGGCGAGATTCCTTTGCTATGGCAGAACAGGATCTTCGATGCAGAGGCGAAGCTGATCTTGTAAGACAGTCGACATGAACTTGGAGGCAATAAGGTCGCCTGACATATTGAATAAAAAGAACCTTTTTTTCTCTCTTGTTCTTCTGCAGGGACTTGCGAAACAACTTCCTCTCGAATGTTTCAAGTGGCCTATTATTAAGCCCTCCTCCCAACGTCACTATCAAGTGAACTTTCCCTTTAAAACAAACATTTTCTTTTGTTGATTGTCTTGTGATTTCTTGCATGTGACGTCTCAGACATTTTTTATGCAGGCTGTATGGGAACCCAATATGCTCAAGAGCTAATGAGTCGAACATAGGAAACCTCTGTGGTATCTCCAATATAGAAATTGAAAAACCTCCAGGAGGCTCTTCAAATGATGACTGCAAACGCCAGTCATGTCCTAAAGACGATAACTACGAGTACGTTGTGGGATCACCATTCCCATGCTTCTGTGCACTGCCCATCCATGTTGGACTGCGGCTGAGGAGCCCCAGCTTCTCCGATTTCCGACCTTACCTTCTTCCTTACTTGATTGACTTGGCTCCCAAGCTCGGCCTGCACCTGTACCAGTTGTTCATCTCTTCCTTCACATGGCAGGTCGGCCCCAGGCTTGTCATCAACTTGACTATTTTTCCTGAGTACAGTGATTTCACCAACCGCTTCAACTTCTCTGAGCTTCACCGTCTTGTGGACTTCGTCGCCACTTTTTCTCTGTCTTCCAACGATGCTTATGGCCCCTACGAGATTCTCTATATTTCCCTCCTTGGTCCTTACAAAAACTGTAAATACTTCTCTCCCCACCTCAAAACGCTTGTTTGATGCAAACTATTCTTTCTTCAGTTGGAACGACAACCTGTATTTTTTTTTTTTTGCAGCCTCCTATCCTATCAAGACAATTAAATCTGGCATGAGCAAAGGCGCTAAAGTTGGAGCCGCTTTAGGAGCCATTTCTTTGTTTCTTGCACTATCCTCGGTTGTTTCACTCCTTGTCATGAAGGCGAGAAGGAAAGGGAAAGCAAAGGAGGCATCGAAGAAACAACCAAGTAGGTGAAAACTACTACACTTTCAGATCCTCTGGAAGACACAGAATAATATGCGTTAACTTGTCTTTGCTTGGATACCTTGCAAAGTTGCCAAGTCCCCAATCAACATGGAGAGCGTAAAGGGATTCAATTTCGAAGAACTTGAAGCAGCTACAAGCAGTTTCAACGACGGCTCTCAGATCGGTCGAGGAGGCTATGGAAATGTCTACAAAGGCCTTTTACCCGATGGCACCATCGTGGCCATCAAACGCGCACAGCAAGGCTCTCTTCAGGGCCAGAAAGAGTTCTATACTGAAATCGAATTGCTCTCCCGGTTACATCACCGCAACCTTGTTTCTTTGCTCGGATACTGCGACGAGGAAGGGGAACAGGTGGTTCTATTTGAGTTTTGTTTTTTTTTTCGTTTCAAAGGGAAAGATTCTGACGATGTAAAGCCTAATAATTGCTGCAGATGTTGGTGTATGAGTTCATGCCCAATGGTTCTCTTCAAGATGCTCTTTCTGGTAATTCTCCTAAAGCTTATTTTGTGCTCTTCTTCTTCTTTCTTTCTTCTTCTTCTATCTCTTTGTGTCTTGAGCTTATCAAGGAATTGGAAGTGCAGCTAGATTCAGACAACCTCTGAGTTTCGGTATGAGACTGCACATTGCAATGTGCTCAGCCAGGGGCATTTTATATCTGCATACGGAAGCCGACCCTCCAATCATCCACAGAGACATCAAACCCAGCAACATTCTTCTGGACGCCAAGTTCAACCCTAAAGTTTCAGATTTTGGAATCTCAAAGCTTGTACCAGCGCCAGATGGAGCTGGAGTGCGTAGAGATCACGTAACAACGGTCGTGAAAGGAACCCCGGTAAGAAACAATCATTCATTTCTGATATTACGTCTCCTTCCTCTGTTTCACGGGTCCTCTTTATTTGAAATACAGTTTCTCGTTAATCTGTACTATAAGACTCTCAGTTGACTGAACACAAATACAGGGCTACGTGGATCCAGAATATTTCTTAAGCCACAAGTTAACAGAGAAGAGTGATGTGTACAGCCTTGGGATCGTGTTTCTAGAAATTCTGACAGGAATGCGCCCCATCTCACATGGAAGAAACATCGTCCGAGAGGTCAGGGAAGCTTGCGAGTCTGGGATGATGATGTCAATAATAGACCGGAGCATGGGTCGGTACACCTGGGAATGCGGGAAGAGATTCATGGAACTAGCGCTCAAGTGTTGTCAGGACAAGCCCGAGGCTCGTCCGACGATGCTGGAGATCGTGAGGGAGCTGGAGAATCTATACGTGATGCTTCCCGATTTGGAGAAGTCTGATTCGAGCTCCCCCATCCAATCCAACATCTCCTTTTCAGAATTCACGGGAAGTGAGCTCGTCAGTGGCGTCATCCCCTCCATCAGACCCCGCTAATATGTTCTGAGACGACTTGGACTGGTTTGTGTTATGTGGACTCTTGGTTTCTGTTGTTGTTTTTTACTGTATGATATATCCAACGCTTGTACTGAAGAAGATACCTTGTGTTGTCTCTGTTCCTCATTGACCTGACTTTTATCACCCATTATTCGAGAAACTTATTTACCACATGAATAAATCCGATGAATGTATCTCAGTGATATACAATGCATAAACCATCTAACTGTTTTCTTCTTCGTTACCTCTTCTTTTTTCTTGCCCCTCTTTGTCGCCTCTTCTTCCCCATGAGAAACACAACCCAGCAGAAAAGCTCACCAGCATGAACAAGCTACCGCAGTCCTTTCCTTTGTGCTGAATGAGAGCCTAACACAAGAACAAGACACGCACAACCAACACAATAGGCCAGCAAACGACACATGCACACACACATATATATTCATCCCTCCCTTACGTGTATCAATCTCTTAGCATCCCGTTTTTGGGCGTTTGATTGCATTTGAATTGAAAGGAGAGACACTGCCACTCGGCCCTGGACTGTCTTCTCTCACATTTGAATTCAGCATCGCAAGCTCTCGCAATTGCTGCCTCTTGATGTAGTCCTGGGACTCATCCTGCACATAGAAGAATGTGCCCATGCTATGTGTACAAAGTGACGCAAATTTCCAGAAAACGAAGGTGTTAAAGGACATACCACAGCAGGCTTGAGCAACTCTTCGATAATTTCCTGTGCATGTCGCAATCTAGTATCCACAATATTGGCTGGAAAATCAGCCTCGATTAGGATGTGCAGTTGATCATTGAGATGCTCTTAGCCTGGCTTCCCCCTTAGCTTCTCCTCCTACAACAAACAGAACAAAGCAACATGAAAAAAGGAAAGAAAAAACAAGAAAATGTAATGTAAATATATCCCTTACTTTGTCAGGATCCTTAATTGACCCTTTCCCTCTAATGTACACGCGGCAACCTGTAGTTGCTTCCACTCGCTTCAGCGAGTTGCCTCTAGGACCCAGAAGCCTTCCCACAAAATTGAACTACAAACCAAACATGGACAGACTCTTCTTAGGGGCCTGGAATAACTTGTCTCAGACTGTGAGAGCATAATAATCGATGATCAAACAGAATAAATTACATTTGGGTACGTATCAACTGGAATATCCAAACGCAAGATGCGCTTCACCGTGTATGAACTCCGGCTGGCACTGGCTGGTGCACCTTGCCATTCCTTTCAATGGAGTCCATTGCCATTCCAGGAAGTCCATCTAGTCTCTACAAGAAAGACAAAGGTTGCAGTTTTATGAGACTGAATGAGCAACAGAAACTGGAACACAGTGCACCTTTGCAGCCTAAGTTATGGCTTAATACCAACTCGGGATAGCAAAAAAAAGTATTGCTTATGCCATGCGATAGATTTAGAGGCACGAAAACAACTTGGTCTGATAGACCCTGGCCTAAAAAACAGAAATATGCATGCCAGCGATTACATGCACAATCCTCAGCTAAAACCTTATTGCGTTCTATAGAGATCATCATCAATGATGACAACGACAAGTTCTTTATGAACAAAAGCTATAACTTTAAGTTCTACAGAAATTCAAGAGAGAGAGAAAGGAATAGTCTACCTCTGGTGGAAAGCCATTCCAACCACTTATTCCAGCACCAGGAACATTAGCCTTTATATTTGGTGAAGCCATTGGACCAGGACTTCGATGTCGCAGTCTATCGAAATCGTTAAACCCTTGGTTGGGCATCATTCCAGTAACCTGAAATATCTCTGTACAAATTAAGAATGTCATAAAGCCAATCGATAAAGAATAACATCCACATGCCGTAGATGGAAAGATGGAAAATAAAATAAAAACACTCAAGCAGCTACTGTTAAGATTTAAAAGCCATTAAAACCAAGGTTATATCACCTAAAGTAGGTGGAAATAGATTTCGGGTCACCTTGATGTTCCTTTGAGTAAGACGCCTACTCATAGAAACTGATGCTGCTTTTAGACTACACTGGTTTCAAGTTCAATACTGCCAGATCCGTAATTGAGAAGCCGGGTACTTTACAATTAAACTTGATAAGGTATCAACGTTTTTGCCGAAATCGTATCCAGCAAAGCCACAAAAACCAAAATACAAATCCAGGCTGATGAGCATAAAGGCGCTGATATTTATCCTTCTGGGTGTTTTGTAACCCAACCTAATGTTAAGCATGAGTAGCATAGAAGTAATACCTGCTAGCCCGGCTCTACAGTATGAGGTAACCATATAGGAGAACTGAAGATAGAGTTGGAACCTTCCATTGGTTGTACAAAATACCATCTTTAACACAACCATCAGAACTTTATAGCATATTGGCAGCTGCTAGATTTTACCGTGAGGTTAGATAAGGCTTCAGGTCCAGTTATGTAACTCAGAGGAAGGAATTAGACAAGCCACTAAAGAAAAGCAAATGTGGTTGCCGTATGAAATGCAATAGATGCGCGATTTGGCAAGAATAACTTCAAGATGATCTATGGAATACAATAGCAGGAAAATCTAGAACCAAAACGAAGAATTGAGAGTGACCTTGATTTAACAGGCGGCTGCATATGGGAAGCACTTGCATGAAGGGTCCAAGCTTTCGGTGCTCTGCTAACAACTCGGACAAGTACTGGCTGCAGAAGACAGAAGAAAAACAAAGAGATAAACGAGTAAAATCACCGAACAAAAACCCACAGGGTAAATCGAGTAGAAGAAAGTGATAGTAAAGTGAATTCTCTTGATTGCATTAGGTTAAGAATTGCACAAATATATACATACACGTCGAGAGAAAGCAGCATAGAGTTGAAGAAGGGGAAACACCAATCAACATCACGGGTGCTTCTAATCTGAGGGGAAGTTGCTCTTGCGGGTGAGAAGTTGGGATTACACAAACCAGACATGGTGGGTATGCTCTGAAAGCTGTTAGAAAAGCAAACAGATTTGCTGGAGAAGGGGACTGAGCAGATGGGTGATTTGGTTGCGGAGGAAATAGCGGAAGAAGCAAAGAGAGCCGTCACAACAGCACCGATGAAAGAGTTTCTGTTTTTTAACAGTAGGAGGTGGGAAGGGGGGGACAGAAGCTTGAAGGGGTAGAATAGCAGAAATACTACTAGTTTGCTACAATGACTTCACGCCATACCCTTCGAAACCCTAGAATTTCAAAAAAAAAAAAACGAGTAAAAGACATAAAAGGTCTTATAAAAAACGATACGTGGCACAATAGGAAGGGAAAGACGGTTAATCTTCCCCAATCGACACTGTAACTTAGTCTTTTTCGAGACAAATTTCGAAACTGCTTCTCTCTCTCTCCCGTTCGAAGAAATCCGGCGAAATCCTATCATTTCTCTCTCGATTCTCAGAAATCAAAACAATGGCTTCAAAATCGAACAGAAATGAAAGCAAGACTTCAACTCCCGCTCGCAAATCGGGACGTGGCGGAAGGAAAAACCAGGAACTGAAGGTAAGTTTGAGTTTGATGCGATGCAAGAAATCTGGGTTTTTTGGTTTGAGTTTATGATTTTTAAGTTAATCGTATGATTTATGGTGGAAAATGGGTTGTTATACTCACCGAAACGGATTTATGGTTTACCTGGTCACACTGGTCACGTTGGTCATACTGACTGATTGAGGGTTGATTTTTTCTTTGTAGGTTCCGTTCATATATGATTTTTCAGATATTCAATTCGCACCGAAGATTGAAAGCAAATGTTATTTGAGTCAGACGATAAAAAATCTGAAAGAGGTATTATCTTCCGAGGAGTGGAGGTACTTCAACGAGGATTCACAGTTTCGTCACATATTCCATTTGAAATGTGACGAAAACATGAAGATGTTGCCTGTGTCAGTACTCCTACACCGAACGCTGAAGTTAGAGGAGGAAAAAGGGCAGTTATGGTTTGTTTTAAATGGCGTTCCTATCAGGTATTCTATAACCGAGCACGCCATTATATCAGGATTGAAGTGCAACCAGTATCCGGAAGATTGGGAAGGGCGCAGGAAAAGCGATTTTCGGATAAAGACCTTCGGACCTGGGAAGGTCACGAGGAAAGCAGTTATGGAAAAGTTGCAAAAGAGTAAACACAGTCGGATTGACAGAAAGAGATTGGCGACACTGATGTTGCTATCCGGGGTACTCGACCCCGGGAACAGAAACGATGACTCTATCAACCATGATCTGGTTGATATGGTCGATGAACTTGAGTTATGCGAAGAATTTCCGTGGGGCAGGTACTCATTCGACAAATTGGTAGAACAGTTGCGGAAGATTCTACAAAGTCCTACACCGAAGGGGAGATGGCGCTTGACTGGATTTGTTGTCCCTCTCATGGTGCTTCCTTTCGAATGCATCGAAAGTCTTTGCGCAAACAGTTGGTGTACGACTGTTGAAGACGTCGATCCAAGCTGTCCCAGGATGTGCAAGAAGCATATCTCTAACCCCAAATGGACTTTTGGGACGGTGATGAAACAGATTGGGAATGAAGCAAAAGTACGTCACGTTGGTCACACTGGTCACGTTGGTCACGTTGGTCATGTTGGTCACACTGGTCACACTGGTCACACTGGTCACACTGGTCACGTTGGTCACGTTGGTCACACTGGTCACATTGGTCACACTGGTCACACTGGTCACATTGGTCACACTGGTCACGTTGGTCACACTGGTCACATTGGTTACGTTGGTCACGTTGGTCACGTTGGTCACACTGGTCACATTGGTCACACTGATCACACTGGTCATACTGGTCACGTTGGTCACACTGGTCACGTTGGTCACGGTGGTCACGTTAGTCACACTGGTCACACTGGTCACGTTGGTCACACCGGTCACGTTGGTCACACTGGTCACGTTGGTCACACTGTTTATTTTTAATTCTGGTCTCACATGTCATATTGGCTGACAACTGTTGTGTTTTGGTTTCAGGGCATTCGAAGTATTCTTAGAGTAGAAAGTGTGGAAGAGGAATCACTTCTTGCTGACGTTGATGACGAAGATATTATCAATTCGGATGTGCGCAGTTGGATGAAACAACTGAAGGTCGATCCAAAAAGTATTTGTTGTGAGCATATTCGTGCTCTTGATGTCGATGCCAGGGGAGCTGCTTCCGATAAGAAA